TAAATAAATAACACAAAATAAATACAGTCACGCACTTAAATATATTTACGTTTTAGAATCATCTAAGAAATTAAAACCGTCGCTTCATGTGGCTATAAGGGTAACTCGTATCATGTATATATTAAAATACAGCGTTATTTAATATATTTCTTATCAGATGTTTTGGTATGTAGTATCCCTGTTTATTTAATAATTTTTTCATGTTTAAACCGTGGCTCGCATGGCTCGCACCCTGGCTCGCATGACTCGTATGGCTCGCTGGCTTGCACATTAGGCAGACCCTGTTTCTTTTCATCTTTCTCTACATCAAACAGCACTTTCTTTCTTTTGTTTTTGTCTTCTTTGCTCAATGCAAGGCCACCAGCTTTGTGCAATCATGATATTCCATGCACGGCAAAGCCAGGATAAAGCATGGCACATTTTGATCCAAGACTACAGATAACGCATTATATATTGTCGTATAATTATATAACGGGATGGTAAAAACATTCGTGGTATCTGCTCAACATAAAATAAGTTAAATGTCCAAGACTAACTGGAGGTAAAAATAGCCTTTTATGTCTGTTGTTTGAGCAGTTACCGAGACGGCTAACCTCAAAGCAACCATGTTTCTTTTGTTGTTATAAAACAGCTTAAGAGAAAACAACTGGTTACAAGACCACAACGAAGTAAAGCGATTAAGTTAGCCACAATAAACTTATCCGTAATATTTCCGTCTCACTTAGGGGTTCTGATTTGGTGGTACATCAGATTGATGATTTCTTTATGCTCATAACCTTTCTGGTTGATAATGCATGGTTTCGTAAGGACAAACTAGATAATGACATACATCGAAAGGATCAAAGATCTCTTTACTTCAGCCTATTCACGAGTAACCGTGACCATAGCATGCAAAACTATCATACCACATCCATTTAAAAGCTTATAAATGCAACCTGGCTAAACAAGTTAAACCGATTAGCTCCAGCAGTTATTGGCTTATCACTAATATTCTTAGCGACATTTCATTCCTTTATCAGTAACATATTTATGCACATGCTTTGCATCGTAAAATAAACACTTAAGACGTGCAACACGCGTGACCCACGCGTAAACCACGCGCGCACGAAGTAAGGAAATAAGTTGATACAGGCATTAAAGGTGAAGACATTTTGTCTGGTATGTTGAAAAAATATTGTCTTTCATTTTAATTCCCGTGTGTTTATTTATTATGCATGCTTTCTTCACGGTGACCTCGAAGTGGCCAAATATCTTTGTACGTAAAAGGAACAAAGTTTTGTTTTATCACCGACCAAGCTACTTACCACCATATTTTACTCACCTAGTTCGAGATTGAGCCATTTCGTGTTGGAATGCTTGCCTGAAATGAGACCATGTAAGTTTAAAACCCTTTATATTTGAACGACACAAGAACAAAGTGCGGATGTTTAGTCGTTAACAAAGATTTATGATTGCGTGTTTTCCAACTCCAATGGAATCCTTTTTCTTGATCAAATGCAGTGAAACTGCCCCAGCGATAAAATATGGAACAATCGTCAACTGTCAACGCTTCTTAGCGAAATGGCAATCACTCAAGAGTGGTCCTTCAGTTGTGATAAGAATAACATACTTCATTAACTAGAACCATGCGCTTTCGTCTGTAAAAAATCTGTAGATAAAATACTTGTCCTTTTGAATGGAAGCGTAAAATAAAACCCGGCATGATGCTGTATTCGTGAATAGAATAGAAGGTATTTTATCGCCACTCACGACATACAAATCCTCCTTTCTGGTCTCTATACGTTACATTTTGAACATAATACTCTACTTGGAAGAATTTTAAATGTAGAAATGACATCAACTCGGAAAAAAAATCCGAGTTCCAGATGGAATTTGAACTCACGACCCTCCGTAGCTAGCCGGACGCTCTAACCACTGGGCTACTGGAGACTCTGGCGAGCAAGGCTGAAATGTGGGTCTTTGAGTGGAACCGCATCACGTGGTCACAGCCAAATGGTGGCTTGGCACATATGAACTCACTAACTGCATCGCGTTACATTAAGGTATATCAAAGATGCAACCAACCATTAACCACCCTCCAAAGTGAGTATCATAAAGAATATTAAATGTAGAAATGACATCAACTCGGAAAAAAATCCGAGTGGTTAGGGACCGTTCATTTTTTATAAGGTAGGGGGGGCTGGTGGGATTTGGGGGGGGGCCATGCGAAAAAAAATGGCTTTCG